ATATGTAGGATGAGCTCGCGTGGCTGCCACCATTTTGTCCGTTCACAGGCTACCACGTTTGTCGTTCTTCCTTATTTTTCACTCGCTACGCACCCCCTCGGAAAAAAACGGACGTTCTTCCGTCGACTTCCGGTTTTCGGGCGTTCTCAGATCTCCTCGAGAATAAGTACGCTTTCTCCGTTTTTGATGATTTCCTTCTAATGCCAACTCGTTCTCGGTAAAAAAGTTGAGCCGTTTTGTGTTTCGTATAGTACCTTAAATTAATATCGATCGCTCGACGGGTGCTTTATTAATTAATTGCAAGTGAAATCGACGGCTGCGAATTGATCATCATCGTTCTTTGTTTTTTCCTCTTTTGTCGAACTCGTTCGCTACGTATGGTACAAGTGGTATTGCTAAACACAAGTCCTAAACCATGTATGTAAAATGAGCTAGTTTCGACGATAAACCGATGTCGTTCAGAATTTCCCTTTTTTTCTTTTGTACAGTCGGGGTGTGTGTTGAATTTGATTTAATCGTGTCATGGCCTAAGGTGTTAAATTAAGACTATATCCGTTTACGTAAATCACTTAAAGTCACGTACTCAAAGAACCGATAAATAGTCACAGCTAATTTATTCTATAAACTTTATAGGTTCTGACACCATTTACACGCTATTCGTTCGTTTGCCATCGGATTGATTATAACACACAAGAGAAATTCGTTATACTCTTCTGCTTTTTATTACAATTAATGAATATACTGTCCTCCCGTGATCGACGAGTCTGTATGAATAATCGAACGTAACGATGATTCGAAAATGTTTTAAACGAAAGAAATACAGGGTAGATTTCATGAGCTTTTACTTCTTAAAAATAGCGACCGTTTTAGATCAATCTCGATAACGATCTTATGGAATGAGAGTAAGGAACGTTTTCGTCATAATGATTTCATGTTCTTTCTTTTTCTTACGCCCGATTCATCGTTTAATATATGATACTACTTCTCTTCTTCCTCGTACACCATTTTCTTCGTGAAAGTAAGTACGTTCCATCAGTGGCAAATACCGACTCTGACGTTTAATAAATTTTACTTTGCATTCTGTTGTTAGCGTTGACGTGTTTCTGTTTCCAAAATTTCTTTTCGCGAAACCTCGCGAGCTGCTTTCCTTTTGGGACCAAAAATACGTTCTCAGGATTTTGAACATTTATTGAATTAGCACTGTTCGTATACGAATTTCTTTCTCCAGATCGTAATTCTATGAAAAATATAAGTGTTTCAATTCGTGAGGCAATTATATTGCCTGTCTATTGAGCTGTCGTGCAAGGTTTCGAAGTGCCTACGTCCAGCGAATGGATTGAACATTTTTCCGAGTCATCGAATTATGCTGAAAATTTTGGTGAAGACGAAATCTCGGAGGTCGACTTTGCAGATTAATTACGAAAATAAGATATGAAGTTCTACAAATATATTTTCTAAAAATTTCACTATAGTTTAGAATTACATACTGCGACCAATATATTTTTTCTGCACCGAAGGTCACAGCCTAATTTTACTTTGACCAGAAGAATCTATCTCGACGGGCCTTTATGTTATAAATAATATTCCACGTACAATTATATTAATTTGATTTATATTATTCTGTTTTATAAATAATCGCAAATAATTGAATATAAATAATCGAAACGAAGACTTGAAAATGCCTTTGGATAAAGCCAAACTCCAAGAATTCCAGTCTTTGAAATTTTGTCATCCGTACAAAATTCGTTGCCGTGCATGATCGTTCGACAACGGTTGTGTCGTTTGCCACTGTACACATAAACACACACACTCACACACACACGAGCGCGCGTGCGCTGCTCAACACATTATCAGTTTACCAAACGATAAATCGCTCGTCCTCCTAGAACGCCAATCCGTCGAATACTGTCACTGCTTAGAATCTACTTGGCGGGGTGAAATCGACGATGGAAGTGGCCGGAGAAACGAAACGGTGTGGTACGAAGGAGGACGGTGAGAGAATGAAACGCGAAAACTGAGGATGAATGATTGCGGACGCACCTTACACCGAGAAACGTCGAACGCAATTGTCTAAAAAAATTCGAAACACGAAAATTATTATTTCAGGAAGAATATTTAAAACTACCCTTAAACTGTCAATTAAAAAAGGAATTACCAGTTAAAATTAATGTATCGGGCGTTGAATTAATTGATTTGTTCATTGTCATTAGACAATTAAAGTAGTAAAAGATCTGATAAAATATATCGTTATAAGAGCTTGACTTGAAGGAATTGCCAGTTAAAATTAATGTATCGGGCGTCGAATTAATTGATTTGTTCACTGTCATTAGACAATTAAAGTAGTAAAAGATCTGATAAAATATATCGTTATAAGAGCTTGACTTGTTTGGTACTTCTGGTCTACCATAAGGTTCATTATTGAAAACCAGAATGATCTTTGTATACAAAGAAAGCTACGATCAAATGAATCATTATCAAGTGTAAATTAGTACAGAATTAATTATCACGAAAAAAAGATTCCAGCACAAGGTGTTCAAGTTTCTCGGTGTTCGCAGGGTCCGCGTGGAACGGACGCAAATGACACACGCGAAACAAAACTGTGCTCGCGGGAAACGTAATATCACAAATCCGTTTGTGTGTGTGTGGGGGGGGGGGGGAATGAACGATACGTAAATACGACAATTGATAGGACAAATATACAGCGATGCACGGTATCGATCGCGGCGCAGTACGATCGGCACCGGCACACCGGAGAAATTACACGTTACTTACAATATTCGTACAAGTGCTTAAACTACGCCTGGATCCCACGTGGGCTCCGACGGGGGCATCGCCTAAACCGATAAATTGACTATGAATATTTCCGTAGAGAATTTTACAAATCAGTCGAGACACGCGCAATGGAAAATCCTCTCGACGACCGGGTTCTCCAGGGGCCGTGTGTCGTTCGACGTTGACGCTCGACGAATCGTCTCGCGCCCGACCGAGCGTCGAACTCGCTCTGCGCGGCGCCTCGAAAAGCGAAGAAGGGACCTTCGCCGTTTCCTTCTTCGCTCGTTCGCCGATCTCATACACTATTCTTTTTTTTTTTTTTTTATTTCTTCTCGTCTTTTTTTCCCTTTTCCTCGTACTTCTCGTTCTAATTATATTCCACCGGCCGTGTTCGTTATTGACAGAAAATAAATATTAATACTATATCGGAGTATCATTTTTAACCGTGAGCGTTCATCTCGACACGGCCGGCTTCATTTCATCGTCGTATCTCGTCTCTACGTGTATGTGTGTGTGTTTTTTTACTTTTTGAATCTTCGTTTTACGTGTCTCTGCGTCTGTGTGTTCTCTTCCTTCTCATATAATATGTATAATGTATATTTATATATTTATATATTTATATCGCTATATAATATTAATTATAATAATTACATACGCGCGCGCGGGCGCGCGGTAACTCTCTTTGTTACGCGGACTCACGACAACGATGAGGATGGTTCTCTCGACTCCCGAACAATACAAGCTAAACACGGTGTCTTTAAATAACTCTAGTCACGACAAACCGCATACAGGTGAGGATCGTCCGTATCCCGCGAACAAGGAAGGCGTCGCGAATGTGCCGTCTCTCTCTCAGGATTCTTTTACACATCAACAACGATCACGAGTCCGTGTGTGATTGCGCGGGAACTTTCTGTTGCGAATTAGTGGGGAAGGAAGTAGGTGGGGGAAAGATGGCAGGAGAGTATCGATTAACCCATTTGCACCGATAAGCGAAATATTCCGCGCATAAAATATTACCATACTACATAAAATGATAAAACAACCCTTGTTTTTTCGTTTTTCTTGTAAATATCTTGTGGGTTTTTACGAAGTAAATATTTCTGTTCAATTCTTCTATAATTTTTTCGTGATAAATAGACTAATAGAAGGTTGAAATATATTTTCGTGATACGTAACCACTTCTCATTCCGGTGGCCCGGTGCAAATGGGTTAAAATGAGAAATGCCCATAAGAGATCGATGCAGATCGTACGGATCGTCGATCGAAAAAAAAAAAAAAAACAAACAAAGACGTTGACCGCGCACGGCAGTGATACCTGGCAGTAGTGAAACGTTTTCGAATAAGTATGCATCCGGCTGACCGATGCTGCTGCCGCCGCGGGGATACGATAACAACCGAGCGAATACCGAGACATCGACGTCGGTGGTACCGATAAATAGTAACTATGACTGTGACTAAAAATAATGTATCGTATAATATATATATATATATATAATATATATAGATTTGTTTTGTTAAATAGAAAAGTCCTCACGCGTTGGTACACACACGCGAAATTTCACTACGTATACACGCGTCAGGTGCTATACAAATTAGGTGTGCACCATTTCCTGTCTCGTGCCGCGTCGTCGGTTTGGCCGAGTGACTCGTCGTTATATCAGGTTTATTGCAACAATTGTTCATTCTAACGCGACGGACTGAAAGAAAACTTTTGTGTTTTTTTTCTCCTTTGCTGAGATCACCATCGACGAACGGCTGCGCTCGTCGGTTAGAGAGTTTTCTATATGTGTGTGTGTGTGTGTGTGTGTGTGTGTGTGTTATCACTCTTTGTTACTTCGCGCGTTCGTTATCGCGCAGCAACGAAACCGCTCGTCCTTATTCCGTGTGTACGTAATCGTGTGTAAAAAGTTTACGCCGTCCGTCGGAAAACGATCCCGCGACGTTGGACGTGCTCTCGATGAATTACCAAATGAAACTTAACGTCTTTGCTGCTCTCGGCTAACAATCTAAACACACCCACTCCGATGGACGCGGATGTTCTCCTCGTTCTTTAGGCGCCGCGCCTCTTCTCATTCGGAGCTTTTAACGGAGAGTTCTGTTCGACAGCACGTTCCTTAGAGGACAGTCTGTTTCTTTCTATTTTATTTTCATCTCTAAGGTTCACGCGAACACTAATATTACCCCGGGTAGGGGTATCGAGCTCACGAGTTTTCTTTTTAGGGGTGGAATTTTCGTGCTTGTCGCTTATTCCTCTTCCTCGCTCTCCTCCGCGGGACCGTACATGTCGGCCAGCTTGTCGAATCTCGGCCCCCAGGTGGTTAAGTGCTCGTAATCGTGCTGCTCGTCGTCCGTACCTATTGGCCATAAAACTTTATTTATTTATTGTCCAGGTGTTTGGTGTATTGAATCATTTTTTGTTGAGTACCAACTTTTGATATTTCACGTATTTCTTGTATGTTTTCGATACATTGAAGCGTTACATCCTAAAAATCTTCAACAGGTTTGGCAATAAGTTCTAAAGTAAAAGTGTTTTGAACCACCTCCTCTATTGATAATAGATTTTAGATTTTTAGTGGTTTTTAAGATACACAAACATGCAAAAACACAATGACTTAAAAACGTCAATAATGTATCTTTATGTATTTTGACCAAATAATCGCTTAGAAAAAGTCTTTTTTTATTCTGTCTTTTAGAAAATAGTCGATGAAATTGGAAATTCGAACAAACATTATTAGTCAAATTGTCATGACTCATATTTCACTTGTTTAGAAAATGTAAATATTTAACTGAGGAAGTTCATCGTGGAGGATTACAGTTATCTGTGTTGTTTTTCAAATTTGTTTGTTTAAATTTATACGTGACTTTCGAATCTTGTGAAACAAATCTGTTACATTCATATACATTCGATAGGCGTATTGGATCGATCATATGCTCTGTACATTTCTCAGACAGATATAATATTTCTACGTACCGGAAGCTATCGATGACAATGAGCCCGCGATACTTCCGCCACCTTCGTAAGCGTAATTTCGTAAATCGTCGAACGGTGGTGCGTTCGGATCGCTGTCGGCCCTCTTTTTATGAAATTCGATGAAGTTACCCACATTTGATTCCGGTCCCACGGGATCTGAAAAATAATTTTACAAAAATTGTCAGTAGTTGACTCAGTAACAGCTACAACGTGAGAAAATACATGAATATTAAGGAACTGTCATAACTTACAAAATGGTACTTTACACGGTGGCAATTTTCCACCCATTTCCGGTATCGGTCCACCGATAGGAATTTGCAGTGGTGTAATGTCGAATGCAGTCATGTCGTCTTCTCCGCCACCCTCGTCGTCGTAGTTAATAATATTTTCTCTCACGTCGTCGTCAGGGCCAGGATACTTGATGTGAGACTCTCTTCTTCTATTGTAAACAACAAATACTAGGACGAGTACTGAAACAGAAAAAATACACAAATTTTTAAACGATACACGTAATAATTTGCAATTACTAGATTACGTTCATGTAAATTTCTATTGTCATAGTCCACATTGCGAAAGTCAGCATTAGAAAAACGTTAATTTCCTTTAATAATGCATCTATTGAGAAAAGTAAGAATAAGTGGAAGGTGACATCAATCCGTGTTGAAGACTTTATTTGTGTTTTCCGCGTTCGTGTACGTTGGAAATTACTAATTGTTATTTTTCTGATAAAAATTCTAATAGTTACTCTTACGATTTCGAATTAATATTAACACTTAGATTGCTATAGTTTTTTTAAGTCATAAGACGTTGAAAATTGCGTGTAATTAATAGAGACTGTTGGTCTTGTCTTAAATTATACTACTATATTAATTTTACGCACAGTTTTGTAATGGTATTTAAATAATCCAGCCCTCTTTGCAATGTACGCGTCACCCATATTCAGGTGACGTGACAGTCAAAGTGTTAATGCTACTGATTTGTAATAACAGTAAATTCTTATAAATGCTTTTAAAATATAAATTACATCGTAACCTTGTTATTCCTTTCAAAAGCAGGAGAAATTAAAAGCGATTGTACTTTACTTAAAGTAAGATAACACTTACCTAGAATAATCAGCAGACAGACCAAAATGGCTGCCAGAGCACCCATGCTGAGCTTCAGTGTTTGACCTTCTTGTACGAGCTCGCAATTCTCCCCCCAGAATCCATCAGGACAAATGCATCTGTATCGCAACCGAGGATCCTGATTGATGCATCTTCCGCCGTTTAAGCAAGGATAATCGATACATTCGTTTTTGTCCATACATCCTTTATTATCAGGCGACGGAATTCTTCCTTCTCCACATCTATTGGCAAAAATGTATTTTCATATTTAACCTTCTCATTAAACCTTCAAATTTCCTCTAGCACGCCATATTTTTGAGAAATACATGTTTGAAGAAAAAAAGCTGAGAAAAGGTATTTTGAGAAAAAATGTAATATACGTAGCAGAGTATGCCATTTGTAACTATTTGGAAAAATATATTCATTTAGTAGTTTTATTCCTTTTGGTAATCCTAGTTTAGCTGTCTACTATTTTTCTGTACTTTTGTGTATCGTTGTTTGAGCGTTAAGTACAGTTTCATCTTTAAGTAACACTTACGTGCAAACGTGTTCATTCCAGAGATCGATGCACTCGAATGGATCTGAGCAAATCACATCGGCGCAGGGTTTATTCGACGGGCAATTTCTTTCGAGATTCCTGGCCATCGTCGCCTGACCCCATTGTGTTCCGTTCATCGCTGGCGGTAGGGGCAGGTGCTTTCCTTCTAGTCTTATGTCATCGAGACATCCTAAAAGGAATATATTTAACATATTAAAATTCATTCACTTTCTTATGTCCGTATTTACTGCTTTTATAAGTATACAGAATTACAGAGTTATGTACCTACTTACTCGAATGATTTAACTATTCATTATGTATACGAAGGAACGAGTAATAATTTAAAACAAACAACCAATATGCTTTTAAGCAGCAGATAAAATTGTATCGTACTCTATTTTCTCTTTTAATTAATGGATTATATTACGCATAACTATAATAATTTTTGAATGTTCACGCATTATTTAAAAATGATTAATTACATTAATTTATCAATATCAACCCATTTGCATCAGAATCGGCCACATTTGTCCATTCTGATTTATTCGTATCTAATCTCAAATTAAGAAGCGCGCAACACGACTTACAAATTACAACCTTCCACAAAGGCCTTGTATTTCCGATTGAAGGATAGAGTTAAGAAGAGAAAAATAAATTAATGCAAATGAGTCAACTAACATTGAACTTATACCTATTCGTAACATAAGGGACTCGGGAGAAATAATAAAACCAATTACCTTTCTGGTAATCAGCGTACACCTCGAACGTCCTGACACCTGTGTATTCCGCTTTGCCACCCGCGTAAACGCCCTCCTGTTTGTCAACCATTAGCCACTGGTGGCCCTCGAAGGAGAAGGTCTCGTTGAATCTTCTTCCTTCGCCGCCGTCCAATTCCAAGGTCGCGGCCGATCCGTATCTCGATACTCGAACGGTGTGCCATTGTCCATCGTCGACGGCTATCGCGGTCAGCCAAATATCACGTTCCTCGGTCCTCAAGTTGTTCAAATTGTACCGGAAATGCAGCCTGCTATCCTTGATCTACAAGTTAAAATGTCGATGCACAAGTTACTGTACGTGCTGCATTGAATCTAAATGAAATTAATATAAAATAGTTATCTCGCGAAACTCGAGATTTCATGTTATCATCGTTCATTCGAATTGTTGGTGAAAAATAACGAGTTCCAATTCTAGCAAGTTATTATTCTGTCGTAAAATAAATTTAAATTACTTTGTGTTTTTTTTTTTCCAAACTTCATACCGTGGTAGAAACACATTGTTTACAAAACTTATGATAATTCGGGGCAATATGAAGTTATGGAAAAATTACTAATATACATCTGTTCCTTGTTTTACGTGAAGGTAAAGCAGGTGGATATTTGGTTCTTTGTTTACAGTTAGACCAGAATAATCTCCAAATAATACAAAACCAAGTACAATGATCCTTATCGTAGTGAAGGGAAGTTCAAATGAAACACGTCTGGCGCTAGAGGTGCTAATCAAGTAATCACAAAAATTTAATTCCAACAAACTCGAGTCTTGTATTACCAACCTCCAAGATAGCGTATTCCCTGTTGTGCTGATCGCTGACTCTGAATAGCTCCCCGTGAACCTCCCTGGTACGGAACCTTAGTTGCACCTGAGTGGAATATTTATCCGGCTCGAAGGACAGGGCGTATTTAACGTAACTCTGTGATCTGAACATGGTCGGTACGGTGGGCGTCATGCATCCTGGGCCGGTCCATCCTGGATTGCACTGACATCTGGCTTCTGTGAAGCTTCCCACGCAAGTGCCGTGCTCCCAGCAACGGAAGGTGGACTCTTGGTTGTTGCAGACCTCTTCGGTCTGGGGGCAGCCGGCCACGCTGTTCCTCGAGAGGCCTGGATGAGCCAGATCGTAGAGTTTGCTGTTGTGGAAGAGATTCTTGATGCAGCCCTCGAAACCCTTGCCAACAGGCATGTGCTTCCATTTGTAGTGGGTCGGGTCGAATTGCTCGACGTACAAGCCACCGATCTGAAGGGGCGCGTTCACGTTCAGGTATTCGTTGAACGGCGGTATGGTGCCCTGAGCTTGACAGCTGGTGTCGTTGAATTCAGGTGGCGTACCGTCTTCAGCTTCGGAGATGTTCGCGGACTTGCAGTAATCGATGATCAGCTTCACCGTCTGTGTGGTGAACAATAGATTTCAGTGATTCGTTTTTGAATCGAGCAAGGAGTTATCCGGGTGAATTGTTTAAAGGACATTTTTTTAGTTGTTTGTAAATTGGTCTGTTCCGGTGTCTTTGGTAATATGATTTCAATGTTTGGAATTTTATTTGAGATTCAAGTGTTTATAGAAAAATTACGGACCTCTGTGTTCCAGAAGATGTCAAGCCTGTGCCATTCACCGTCGTCCAATGTTTTATTGGTTTTCACTTTTAACTCCAGAGTACCGGATCCGAAGTCGATTAAGAGACGAGGTATTCCACGCTCCAACTCGACGGATATGAAGTCTGTAAATACAATAATATATTCAGTGTTTATGGCTGTTATACTGATATCGTGTGAAATGTTGATAGACACGTTAGAGATACTATAATTATTTAGGATTTATCAAGTGTTTTTCAAGAAACCTAAAACACAATCTATTCACAAATACTGAGTGGGAAGTCCATTATTGTGCAGTACAAAGTATTCAAAGTTCTAAGAAACACTGCTTTATAAAAGTTTCCATGCCAAAGCAATCGATACGTATGAATTTTCTGTCACGTATCTATTAAATGAAAATTCATCCTCCATTCTTGACGAATCAAACACTGTATTTGGCTGCAATTTTACTCTTTTCTCTTTATACGTCGACTTTGTTATCTTTTCGATTTTGGTTATCATTTCCATTTGGAAATGTATGTCCATATTGATAAATAACAAATTTATTTTCATGAAACATAAATACCTTAAATATAAAGTTGGTTCAAGCTAACACAAAAATTCTATCAAACTATAAGATAGCGTACCGGAAACCATAATTTCATCAGCTTCAGGAGGAACAATGGGTCCGTTGTACAAAAGTAGACCGTCAGGTTTTTTCGTAATGAGCTCGAAGCTCAAATGGCTACTGTCACACATCTCCAACGCGGGGTACCAGGCCCAACCGTTTCCACGGAAGCTTCTCGCGGTCTGTTGACACCTTGGTCCATTGTATCCAGCGGGACATTGACATCTAAACGACACGGAAACAAATCGATTCTTAATCGTGAAATAATTACTATAAATATTAATATACCATAAAACACGATACTCACGATAATCCAAATCGACCTTCCACGCAACGGCCGCCGTTGTAACAAGGGCTGCTTCTGCAAGACTCCCCTTTGCTGAAATTCCGTGCTCCACATGTACACTCGGTGAGTACGTCAACACTCGTCGATGCCCACCATTGTTATATTGATTCCCACCTCTTTCTCGATCTAGACCATTTAGAACCGTATTTTAGTAAATCTGTTCTGCTGGAGTTGAGGAGTTGTATTGTATGTATGTGATTATATACGTTGTAGGTATGTATGATTTCAATTTAGAATGTGTGGAAATAAATAATTAAAAAAAAAATTAGGAAATAAATAAATTTTTATTTGCATAACAATGGTGAAACTGCTATGTGACATCCAAGTTCACTGGGCAGTAGAGGATTCAGACAATCTTGTGATATTTGGAAACTGATACTATCTACTATTTTCTTTATATTAGATATTCTCTTGTATTCATATGTTCTGTTCCATCATTTATTAATCAATTTTATGACGCATTTTTTAATTTTCATAACAATTTTATATTATATATATCGCGGCCATAATGTTGGCCATTTACAATCATGAGTGTGGTACTATCACTGTTTAAAAATTTACTTAGAAGGTTCGTCGTGTGTGCGCGTGTAATTCAAGACATCTTGAAATTAATAAACCATTAAGTGAAAAGGAAATAACTTACCTCTTCACGATGCATCAACACGATTCCATTCAACCTAACAGGTTTGTAATACGGTGATCCATGAGCTGCGAATCTGACGTCCGTTAACGGAGGGTGCATCCTTCGTAATTGAACGCTGAACACGTCGACATTGTCTCTATCGATGTTCAATAAATGTGCCAGCTTTTCACGGAATAATTCCGCCTTGCTGCGCGACAATGTTTGAGACTGTGAAATTAAGCAGAAAATCAATTTCAATTTGAGTAAAAGAACCCAACAATGAAAAATTAAAATATAGTTCTTGCTTATGAAATTATACATTTTCATACATTATTTTAAAAAAAAAATAATTGAATAGAAACTTCATTTTCAATTTTTTCATACATGCACTAATTATAATTATCGAATTGTCAATATTTTGTTTTTGTCGTAGGTCAACTTTGCATTTTTACTTTCAGATGACAGTATGTCCAAATTTTACATACATAACTTCGACTTCTGTTTTTCAAAGCGTCACTTGCCTTGCGGTTTATTTAAGGCTACGTAGACAAAAACACCACAACAAAATTTTTTTTTATTATTTCAACATGTATACTAATAAATACCAGCAAGAATTTTTACTCCAAGTGTTACACTTTTTTTTTTTTTAAATCCAGAAGAATGCGTTTTTTTCACGCGTTTGCACGAGAATGTACCCTTAACTGATTTTACTGTAAGTTTTTATTTTAATGTATTCTGTACATTCATACGTGCCAGAAAAACATGAAACCTGTCAATCTGATAATTATAATTAATTCATGAATGAAGAATTGCCTACCTTGTAATCCCAAACGCGAATGAAGTCCTCGTCCGTTATACCGGATATCCTGACCGATCCAGAATTCAGCACAGCTTCGTAAGGAATGGTCTTCACGGTGACGGTAACGTTGGCGGGAATCTCCGTCTGCGTGTGTTTCCGGTCGTACACTTTGAAGCGTAAGTGGTATCTGCCGTCATGCGTGCCCGATTTCATATAAATCATACCGGTGTCACCGTCCACCTTGAACTGTGCATGCTCCAGACCTTCCCAGTAGAACTGTTTATCCGGTAAATCCCAGTCGTCCAAATCGTACACATAAACCCTTCCTATTTCGGTGTCTGGCGATTGTCCCTGTAACGTTGACTTGATTTATAATTACAAATCGATTAGAACCATGTAGTGCACCAGGGAGATAAGAAAAATGAAAAGATAAATGTACGACACGATTTATTAAAGACTTACTTTTGGAACCTCACACAAATTTACGATACCGTACAGCATTGAAAATATTTATTGCATCAATCTCTCAAATTCACGTATTACGCACAATTTTCGTAACAATAGGTTCGATTAAATGATTCGTATCCAACTTATTTTGGCCAAAATAATGAGCTATATATTTTTCACATAAATATCGGTTTTAATCAATTTTTCTAGTAGGTACTGATAATAAGGCAAGTCTAAATGACAGCGTATTTAATATTCGAGCGATTCGGTAAATATTTCCTGTTCTGTATGCATTCTGAATGAACACTACAATATCGTTATTACAGCTTAGTAATTTTCCACGTCTCATTATATTTATTATTTCATTTTACTTGTTAAAAAAATGTCGAACAGGAACAACATAACGATATCTCGAGTTCTAATTAACCAATTGATTCTAACTTCTGAATATACCTTCAATAGACGTGTCGTTACCGTCTGTACGAGAATGATCAAAAAATGATTTTTTTTTTCTGATTTTTTGGACCCGCAAAATATGAAAATAATTGAATCGATACATAAACTTCAAAGTGCCGCCATTTTTCAAATTATCGATATTTTTTATTTATACCGGTTCACACCGTAGCGACACTCATACTAATTGACAATCGTTTTGGCTTTTTTCGTTTCGGATAAGCAGGCTGTCCGAAATAGACCACTTTTATTTTAAGGGACCGTACTAAATGACTTGTAATTCAGTTAATTCTTATTATTTAGACTTTAAAAAAATAGTAAATATTCTTTAAATATAAATAAATATGTGTGTCAAAGGCAGATACCAACAAGTATTATAGTTTCTTTGTAAAAATAAATAAAGGAAGCTCCAAAAATGGCATTCTAGACTAGAAGACTCTTTTGAGAAGTATCCAAGAAGTGTGAAATACGTACTGCATAGTTATATACAAAAATGTCTTTCGATCCGGGCTGCATTTTGTTGTCGTTAGTGTCCCCGATAATGATCGTTAAGGTACTGGTCCCAGACATCGAAGGAGTCCCGGAGTCCTTGATAACGATCGGTACCAAATACTCCTTCTGTTGTTCTCTGTTGAACGTCCGTAACGACGAAACAATGGCCATTCCGTCCCCGTTCGCCCCCTCTGAACGAACAAAAAGCAAGACATTTGTTAAGAGGACTAGCACGAACTACGGCTAACAACCCGCCGGAGACTTACTGGTATCGCTCTCAACTTTGAAACTAGCACGAATCACATCGTCCGCTTTAGGGTCCATTCTGAACGTGAACGGCGGACCGTTACTCTTCGAACGGTCGTCGTCGTCGGTCGCCTGGATCTCGACCACTTTTTTCGGCTGTATATGCTCCTGCAGCACAGGCCGATAATCTTTCAGGAATCTCGGTGGATTGTCGTTTATGTCTTGAACAATCACGGTCAACGTGGCCGTCGCCGTTTTTGGCGGGATACCGTCGTCAATCGCTAAGATTTTCACCTGGAATGATCAACGTCGCGTTTCATTTGTCAGTTCCAATGGTTTAACACGTTAACCCTTTAGCGCTCAGTGTTGCATCGGTTCAACACTCATTTTAAAGGTACATCGAATTCTGTTAATATCTGAGTTTTGTCAGCAAGGATCCGGAGTTTCACTGATGTGAAGTAGATCTCCAGGTTTTCAGTTGAGAAATTCAAGTATTTTCAACAAAAATAAATAAAACAGGAAGAAATGAAAAAAAAATGGGTCTATTCTAGAAATAAATCTGTAAAATATGATATCTACGGATGTATATAAATATTACATTTAAATAAAGATACGTATCATTTAATGGTAAACGAAGAACAGTTATAAAAAAGGGTGAACTTAAGATGAAGAAAGTCGTATATGTAGATGGCGGGAAAATTGAAAACACACATCACTTTATAACGTACCTGGTGTCGCGGTGTTTCTTCTCGATCTAGACTCCTTTGGATCGATACTGTGCCATTCTCGTTGATCGAAAATTGCCGTTTACGATCGGAAGTCCTGTCGATCGAGTAAAACACTTTGCTCTTGCCACCTTGATCGGGATCGGTAGCGATGAACGTTTCGAGGTCGTTTCCAATGTGAGCATTCTCTGGTACGGTGGTCTCGATATTCGCCTTCTCGAATTGCGGTTGATTATCGTTTATATCGCGGAGCTTTACGACAACCCACGAATAGGCAACATGATACTTGTCGTTGTCATTGTCTTCGCCCTGAACAAAAATATGCCCGAAACAATAGAGACTTGTTTTTAACGTTGATCGATAAAAATCACAGACTGACAGTGAAATTAAAAATTTACAATTTTACTTTGTAATTTACAGATGTTACATTTTTCCATACCCTGTCGTTGACCTGTATCCGAAATCTGAAACCGTTGCTCTGCAATAGGTCTTCGTAATCCAGCGATTGAACGATCTTCAGAGATCCTGTACCATCGTTGTTTCTCACCATGGTGAACTTATCGGCGCCGTAACCACTGTTCTCGATTACCTGTCGATTCGCAGTAATTAATAATTCGACCAAACTCAATTGCTTGCAAAAGTCAGAAAAAAAAACATGTCTGACATTTATGTTGATTTCAGATTAACTGTTGACCCAGACAGCACATGACGCCTTAAAGACGTCCATTTTACGGCTATTTTAGGTCTAAGGTGCCTTGGAGCCGTCTTCAAGGCGTCATTAGACGTCGTGTGCTATCTGGGACGAAGTGTTAAGTATCGAATATGTATGTGTGGCTTACAATAATAAAAATATTGTATGGCTTAGTTTACTGTACTTAAATTATAGAGTTGAGAACAAGTAAAAAGCATTGTAACTATTTATTAATTTCAATTAATTATTGTTTTTTGATTGAGAGAAATTCGAAATCAGTGGTGTTTTTTGACTGTTGGTTTACAGAAAACTAGATCAAAGGTTATAGAAAATAAATACCTTGTATTGGAACTTGTTGGTTTCGTCTTCGTCGTGAACAGTGACCGTAAGAATTGGCATTTCCGGCAAATCTGGACCCTCCGTCTCGTCCACTTCGGTGAACCATTCGTCTTTTGTAAATTGAGGAGGCATGTCGTTTATATCTTTCACTCGTATCGATGCCGTCCCCGTCCCTAAAAACAAGACCAAACAATTTTGATTATAAAATATCACCTAAACTTTTGAACACCATTAATATTACTGTTTGTAGATATACAATGGATTATCAAATTATTACAGTTAAAGTATGAAAAATATGTTCTTTTGGGTTTATTTAGAAATAAAATTACAATATCAAGGTTTTTACACTGAATAATTTTTAATTAACAATTGTCCACTAAAAATATACGACAATTTGTACTTAATTTATGTAACTATAATAAATACAATAAAAATCACAGAACCTTCGATGTATGAAGCTGTATCTAACAATGATCACCCACTGTAATATTCGTCATTATAAAGCCAACACTTTTTTGCCCATTTAACGAGTTTATATTCTAAAGTTTTGTTAAATAACAAGTACAATAATCAAATCTATATTATAAATTTGTTTATATCGAATAAGTCATATCACACAAAATTATACACTGTTTTAATATCAGCCAAAAAGTGTTATTGTGTCGTGATCAATTCTTTTATAAGCGTGTTACAGTAAAGTTATTTATTTGTAATTAGACTGACAATTTCATGACGTACATAAGTTAAGGAAAACATAATGACATTATTCAAAATAATTGTATGAATATAATTATGAAATGGGCAACAGGTGTTCAATGGAATTGTTAAATTTTCATTTATTTTCAAACTTACCCTTTAACCCCCCTCCATCCATTGCAACGACCTGTATAGAATAATCCGGGGTGCGTTCTCTGTCCAAGCAGCATACCGCCGTTTTTATCACGCCAGTGTCCGATTCGATTTCGAAAATCGGTAAACCAGTCTCTTCTTCGATAACGTTCTTCTCAATCGAATAAGATAGTTTAGCGTTTGTGCTTTCGCTCGGGTCGTCGTAGTCGATCGCCGTCATCGTCATTACGACCATTCCTAAAACGAGCACCAGAGAAACGATCGTAAATACGATTTTTCACGCATGAACGAAGAGAAAAAAGAATTTGTGGTAAATTTTATTTTATTCTAAAATAAATATTAACTTTTTATTCTTTCTTTTGCTTTGCACTTATTCTTCTTTTTCTTATGTATTAGATTATTGCACACGAAATGCCCGACTGTATAAATTCCTCAAACCCTCCAACTACCGACTTTCGATTTGAGAATATTTTGTTTCTTAGAAGGAGCTCTCGATAACACAAACAGTGATCTTTCACTGGGGAAACATCTGCTGAATGTCGTTCTACGAAGAAACTATTCCTTTGGTACCATATAGTTTTGTTACGTAAAGGAGTCAAATAATCAAAATGGGAATTCAATAATCGAAAGAGTTAGATAAGCACAGTGTCTTCCGACAAGCACAACAAACAATGTAGATGATGTATATTAAAATTTTGAAAATTCTAAAATGATGGAGTACAACTGATATTATTTACTTGATTTTTAATTGCTGAAGTCAATGGTAATCTCACTCTTGGCCCTATATGGAAGGTTATTTTCTAAATTCAATTGTAAATATGGAACGGGTGGTGGTGATTTTACATGCAAAAGTAATTCGAACAAAAAAGAACAACATTTTATCATTTATGCCTTCGTTTTCGAGATAATCGAATTTGAAAATCTGTTGGATACGCGTGTAACTGAATCGTACTTGGCTAGTGTGTCTGATCATGGCATTCCGTTTCTACTTACTACCGTAACGAATACACACGCGCTTCAGATTCATGAATCAAACTGAACAGCGCTAACTTTATATCCGAAAAAACTGAAATCAGCATTGTGTTCGGTAATCTTTAATTAACATAAAAAATCAGGTTCAGTTTCATCATTTTCGGACGTGTTGAAGAGTGTTGTTACCTAATGATTTGACCAAAAAACGCCTCGTTAGTGTAGATCGGTGTAACTGTACCTGCTGTGCCATTTTCGGTGACATTGCCGAAGTAGATACCCTGCGGGAAGGTCGGCGCGTTGTCGTTGATGTCCTTTAAGTTCACCTGAACATCAGCGTAACCGACCAAACCTTCGCCCCCTTCGTCTTGAGCAAACACTGTGAATCGCCACTGCGGCCTTCCATTCGGTTGATCCCTGTCCAATGGCTACGAGAAAAAAAAATGGCGGTTTATGGCTTGAAATGGTCCCCACGATGCAAAGTAAATTTAATAAAGCAAAAAGCACGGCCACAGCTTCGCTGGAAGTGTGTGCGTACTTGGTGTAGGTACTTTACGACGGACAAAAGGTACTTAGCAGAGTACTCTGAACTAAATACGATTTATTTCAATTAAATACGAACGAATAATGTGGTTTATTTTGTTCGACAAAACTGTCATTATTTTGGTCTGTAATTTGAACATTAATAAAAAGTAATGAAAATTAAAATTGTTCTATTTTTTAATGGTGATACTTGCCCAATGAAAATGAGTAACAATACTAATTTATATACGTAACGTGTGATTTATTTGAAATCTGAATCTAATATGACGATAGTTTGAATTGTTTAAATTTCAATTAATATCCGGTACACACTAACAATCATAATATATTAAGACAGAAATTTATAAAATATGCTATATTCTTGTAGAATTCTTTACGATTCTCTTGTTCCAAGCACATCACTTTTAAAATCTATTAATGTATGTTTCTTTGAAAAAAAAAATTGAAATTTTATTAAGAGAAGTATTAACTATTGGTTTTTATCGAAAGTAAAGTAGTAAGTTAATGGAAAATAAGGGGTTAGAAGTCGAATGGGAGAAAATAACGGAGATCGAGAACTTGTAACAAATCACCAACTCGTAAGAGAACATATTGTCAGAAAATCTAGCGACCTGTAGGACGTAGATGTCTCCGCTGGTGCGGTTTATATCGAATTTGCTGTTCGCTGGGTTATCGGGATCGATTCCCTGACCCGTTAAGAAGTACACAATATTTTGTGGTCTGTCCTTGTCGCCATCGGTTGCCGTGACCTGCGTAAAAATAAAAAGAAAAGAGAAATGTATTTACATCATAGAAATATTTTTAATTCATACCATATTATAAAACTATTTCTCATGGTCATCATATTTTACAGAAAATTTTATTCGACGTCGACTTCAGTATATATTAAACTTATCTTTCAACTGAAATATTCGCAATTTTATGCTATGTACTCGGGCGTTACGACTTATACTTTATTCCCTGCATTTTATATTCCATATTATGTATTCTATATCGCACAATCCATACTTTATGTTTCATGTTCTCCGTCCTATGGCCTGCGGGTTAGCATTTTAAATTTTCCGAAAGAACACTCGGACGGTCTGACATAGGATTTAAAATACTTTAAGGCTGACTTTTCGAAATTATTTCAACCCGCCTCGTAATGTCCCTGTATTTCAAAGATGCGGTTGGAATTTCGTTTCAATAATGATAAGTTTCTTCGACCAAAAAATTATTTAAATTGTATATTTTGATTAAATAAGGCAATCACTTTATTAAAGTTTTGTTCAATAGTAAACTGTACACTTACACATAGAGACAAAATTTGCATTCAACAGTAGAAATTAATTTGGGTTGTAAAGGGTTAATTCACATTTTGGTTTCAAGTTAATTTAATTTCGATCGTCTAACAAATCGATCTATGTATGTATTTCGACCGCTTATTATATGATATTAAAAACACGTTCATAAACCACTACTGTTTCTTAATTACTAAATCATAAATAAAGAACGAATACTATGATTGAAGTCGATATCAAAAAATGATCCAAAGTGTATTCACGTTTGAGATCCGGCAATCTGACCGAATCAGCGTTGTTCAAATCTAAATGTAATTAAATGAACGGAAACCTGATATACAGTGAAATACAACGTAAGCAAGAATTGTTACCCCTAGGACACGTTTCGGCAGAGTTCTGTCGTCTTCCTCGGTGATCTGCGTCCTGTAATTTGGACGCTCGAAGACAGGCGGATTGTCGTTTACATCCTTCACGTGTATTACGACCGTCGTGTGATTTTCTTTTAAGTTGTCCGAGGCGGTAAGGCGAAGCTCGTACTGCAAGATTAAAGCGGAACAAGTGGATAACAGCGTCTTGGTGAGCTGTTGGAATTAAGCTACCGAACTGACAGCGTCTGTTTTCCGAGAGTAATGAGAGCTTCGGGAACGAAATGGGCGAAAGTGGGTCAAAAGAATCGCAACGCTCCTTCCGTTAACAGAATACACAGACATCCGAGATTAAAACAACAAAACATGAATACAAAGAATAATTTTCCTTTCGAAACTATACTTACACCGAATCGACCATCGACTGCAGATTTGATGCACTTATAGAAAATACGAATTACGTAGTTATTCGTTTTATAACATGCTGCACGTATCTTTAAAGTTGTTAAATTACGTAAACCTAAAATATGGTAATTCACATTTTCTCCGGAGCAACCAAGTGTCCACTGACTTATGGTCGGCCAATGTGTACGTTATTCATACCGAAAATTAATGACACATTTAACGTGGGACAAGATTTTCCGTAGAATAAAGAATCTTCTTTGAAGAAAAATTTATGAGGTCGTGTAAGTAGAAAAATTTTGAAACAATATATGTAGTCTTGCGTTTTAATGAGTTTTACGGAAACACTACTTTAATGACGTGCTTGGATAAAACGTTTTACTGGAATAATAGTACGTTTATACAATGTCCAAAGAGAACGAGTCGAAACTTACGCAGTGTGTCAACGAAGTTGAATAGGTGAGGAAAGTTCATATGACCTTATGTTTGAAAACGCTGCACTAAACGATTAGAAACATTAAGAAATTGCCAGGTGAAATTGTTCTTGGTTCTATACAGTTGATAAAATACGCGATACAAACTAAATGTTATATACTTTTAGATTACAGTAGAACGCCAATTATCTGAACTAACAGGGAGGTAAATCCCTTCCAATAAGCGGTTTTAAGGATAACCGATCCAGGAAAACCAATATACGTCATGAAAAAACTAGAAATAAAACAATTTTGCAGTTATTAAGATCGTAAAATAACATAAATAAATATTCGCACCTAACGACCATTCCTTCAGCTTCGTCATTGGTTTCTTCAACAAAAACAGATAAAACAATATCATCATTGTCTACAATTTTATATTTTGGATTCTCTTTACGTATTTCAAATCGAGTGTATTGTATTTTCAATTAAAATGTTGTAGAATTAATTATACTTGAAGCTCGTTTAAGAATAATTAACGATATCTTTCGCGTGCTTTTTTACAACTAATTCTTTTGTAATATATTGGTGGCTCGTTCTATGTTTCGATAATTGATATTCAAATAATCGATGTTCCTCTGCAATAGAGTTTTATAAATTCTTTTATAGATTAATGCAGTTTGAAAAATTCTGTAGCAACGAAAATTCCTCTATTTTATTAATAAAATGGCAATATGATTTTTATGAATTGCATTTTCCCTCTAGTTAACTTGGAAAAATGGAGCAGGCACGTGGAGACCAATAATGAATAGTATAAAAATTTCCATACGTGTTTTTGATAAAAAATTATGGACCACTGAGTGTTACACCTAATAAGATCTATGACTATTATGTATATTAAAGTTTAATTATTTTTCCAGACATTTTAAAAATCGAATACTTTCTCGAAAATAAAGTCTGAAATGAAAACATTTTATTGTATATTTTCAACTTATTCTTTCAGGTAGAATCACCCACTACGCGGTTGTATCACCAGTAACATAATACCCTGTATATTATACATACAATACTGTTAGTTCTAATGTTAATAAAGCGTTTACAAACATCTGTTCCTATAAACCGTGTTCACCTCTCCGAACTTCTCAACGCACTCATGAAATTGATCCTTATTATTTTCAAAACACCGAGTACACTGGCGAGCAAGCTGAGCTTCTGCTAGGGGAAACCGTAGCAAGGGGAAAAGCTTCCTACCACTTGGTCTGAGGAGTTACTGAAATTTCTGCGAAGTTAACATTCGGTATCACAATCACCTCAGTACTAAATTTGCTCGTGAGTGTAAATAAATATTAAATCAGCTTTCCAACCTAATGTTTGAATGAAATTTTCCATAATCCATAGTCTCGACTGCCAAACAAATCGGATAATATAAAATACACGTCAAACGGAATGCTGAAAACTCAGCGGGAATCCACTGCTCCCGAAGGAACGTAACAAATGAATATTTTATGATGAAATTCAATTAAACCGAGTATAAAATAATTCAAGTTGAACATCGCGGGGCACTACAATTCCCGATGACAGATCCGACCGCATAAAACGTAAGACTTATTAAAGTAATGACAAACGAGGGGGAACCCGCAGACCTCTTCGTGCAATAAACGCGAAACTTTTTCGCACTGTTTCACGGTTTTATTGGGTCGTGGCTGCAATAAAATGTGCAGCAACGCGGTTAAAAGGATTAACCGAGGGGTGGATATCTCTAATTCTTTTTACCACGCTGTCAGTGTTTCGCGTGGATTCCTCCTTTCTCGTAAGACTGATGCACTAACCCTTTTCCTCGTCTCGTAATCCAATGCACCTGCGACGTAAATGGCGCCAGTCATATTCTTCACGGCGAATGCACCGCCTAAGTTACCGCTCGTAATCTCGTATCGAATACGCGAGGCTGTAAAATCCAGAAAAATGTCCCGTCAGATGGAATGCCTGGAAAAATTACCGTCTTCCCACTGCCCGGGGCGCACTCATGGAAATTCCTTCAATGCCTCGTTCCTTGACGGCGAAAAAATTCTGTGGCTGGTTGAATCGCGAACGGTACCGTGGTTTAAATAACGGAAATTAAATTTTTTTTTTGCTGCTTTACGCCTAAATGACGTTCCATTACAGGATTGCAAACTGCTGAATTCCCGATTCGAACGGGGTTAGTTTTGTGCTCGAGAGTTTCGCTGAACGCTTCGTTCGTGATACTTGGCACGTTCAAGAGTACTCGCTGGTGAAAAGTTGTAATCAAAGATGGTGTTAATTACGTTAAGTTTAATAAGACCGTTTGGATGTTATTCTTGGTGTTTTGGAGGATATTATTATAAGTATGATCCAATGGTAATGTATATTGAATGGTTTGAAAGACAGTACGGTTATAAAATTAGAAGAATTTGACCGTAATAATTCTTTGAAGATCGATTTCTTTAGGATTTTGTGTACTTGTTAACGTAGGGTATGAATTTTATTAAGACTGTTAATATTTAAGGAAGTACCTGATGTTTAAGGAAATCCATACTCTTCGTTAGTTAACCTATTAACATCCAACTTTGAGTTAGCGCATTTCACTCGCAATTTTTTCAGTGAATTTACATTATTGAAGTCTGTTTTTCTTGTAGCAGTTATGTAAGAGGATTTCACATATTTGGTTATTACTTTTTTCGTCACTATTTCTTCTTCCGCGACTTGATAAACCAATGTTTTCTTAAATCATGGAAATATTTTGGTGTATCTTTCCCATGTAGTGGGCTTTTATGATATGGTATCTAGTATTGTAATACTTTTTTATATTTCGGAAAAATAACAGATAAATTATTTTATTTAAGTTTTTCAATCAAAAACATTGGCAAAAGTTGCATAAACGCAACATTTTATTATAAAAAAAGTACCGATCCAAAAACGTTTTCGAGAATATTTGCATTCCTTTTTATGCACTTCTATAAGTAATAATAATTACATGTGTAAAAATCGCCTTATTTAGCTGCTTGTAAAAATGGGTTAACACAGAAAATGTTAAAGAATTATTACACTCGAGTTGTTGCTGTTCTCTCAGGTACTGTTCGTAAAATTTGCAATAGAGTTTGAATTGTTAATAGTACGAAAATATGGGAAAAGGAACTATTTGACTATTCTGAATCCCAAGATTCAAATAAAAATGAAAAATTCACGAAACGAGGAACAAGCATAAACTCTTCGGCAAAGAGCTTTCCGTTTCGCCTTGGCGATTATCATTAAAGAGTTCGGAGCGATATTCATTAAACCAGCCACTCTTTGAATTTTCGCCGTGGAAATTTTTGTACCCGTAGGGGAAAACGTTCGATCATAAGCAGCGGGGAAAATTAGTTTTCGTCCGACTTCTTTCGCTCGTACGAACGACAGGGCTCAGAAGTCTCTGAACCGACCCTCCCCTCCGTTAAACGAGTTTTATTAGAATTTAATAACGCCTCGAACGTCCAACTTCTTAATTGAGACGAGCGCCAGATAAGTATGTTTCGTGACTTCGACGCAGCCATCTGGGTATTTAAACTTCTGTAAGCGGTTAATACGCCTCAGGAGTCGACGGATGGATATTGTTAACCGACGAAACTTCTTACATCCAGGAGGTTAAGGATCGAGAACTTCGAAACCGGTATAAAATCATTACGCGGAACAGAGGGAAGACACACGCCCAGCGAAAGTTCGCTCGACTGTTCGTGGAAACTCGCTTATCGAACGGGGAGAATTTATTTTCCACGCCGTCACGGCGCCCACGCGATAAGGCGCCCATTTCTTTTACGTCCATGTATTTGATTTCGCGACTTAGTGACGCTGTAAGTGATGTTGGTTGATTGGGAACTCGGCGGAACCTCCAGCATTCAAACCAATATTATTATTTTAAATGTATGTACTATAAACTTTAAATTGATTATGTAGAATAATGAAATTTATTATTGTATCTTGATAGTATGTTCGTTTTGTTACGGGATACAATTATGGGTTTTTGAAATGACCTTGTCGAAGGACTTGATAATAGAGTGATTCAGAAAGCTCAGAGAAGGCTGTCGTATTCATTTCACCAAATTACGTATCGAACTACGAATTTTGTCTCGCATTTAAGGAAAATTTATTACACAATGGCGATAGAAATACAAATAACGATAGATAAATAAAAAGTGGACAAAAATTTTTAGAATTATTATTTCGAAAGTTTGTGAATGAATGTGTACGTTACTAGACGTCACATTGTGTGACGATTCAATATTCGAATCGGCATACTTTGTTTGATAGAAGTAGAATGTGATTTGCAATATCCACCTTTATCTTATGTTATTCATAATCTTTGGTTTATGTAAGTTTAATATCTAATCAAGAAACTAAGAAGATGCCATTGAATAGAATGATGAGGATCTATAGAGTGGTGTGTGTGATTTAATTCTAATGACCAGAAAAAAATTATTTTTTTATGTAAGCACATTAAAATGTTTGATAAGTTGAAGACTTTTATAGTGTGAGTTTGAATAATGGAGGTTGTAAAAAGTCTGAACCTTAAGTTACGATACTATTGCAGATCTTTGCTGGCTGAGTTCGGCTCCCATTTGTAGAATTTAAATTTGTATAGATGTACTACAAAATGTTTGCAGTACTCTGTAATTTTTGCAAAAAATTGCCTTTCATCTGCCAGATACAATCGTGGACTACGTTCAAAGGGATCGTATATACCAACATGGCCAAGGGCTAAAGGGAAATTAATTTCCAGCAAACTGTAGAATGTAGCCCGTAATTAATACTCGAAATACACCTGTGAAAGTAATCTTTTTGTAAGTAAAGTTGTGATATGAAAACTGTTCGAATAAATACAATTTAATCGTATATTATATCGTATAATTGTTATTATGTATACCAAAGTTCTTTTATTATCATCTGCTGCTGGAGCTGGGACACTTTTTACCCACGTTATTTTAAATTAGAATTCAGATATCTTTGTGTTTCTCTAAAAAATATTTACAATAATTAACCAAAACAATCGACTAGTAAATGGTCACTAAACAGTTAGAAAAAATGAGGGAAACTATTTCGAATCGTAGATATTGCGCCAAATGTTTACTATCAGTGAAACTTTACTTTTGTAAACACTTAATTTGTAAAAAAGTATTGTAAAATCAAGTTCAAGATATTAAGATAAATATATAATCGAAAAGTCTATCTTCCGATGCATACATTTTAGACACAGGTAAAAAATGATCCAACTCCCCCTTCAGTATAACTATCAGATCCTTTGTCATCTGACGGCTAAGAGAGTCTTGCTTTGTGCTCTGTAATGTGAAAGATACGTGCAAAAGTAATACTTTTTCCGTTTTGGATTTACTTACACTCGTCGTGATCTTTGGCGGTAACAGTGAGAACCGTATGCTGTATGTCCTCATTTTCGTCTACTTCAGCCTCATAGAGGCCTTTGTCGAAGTAAGGCGGATTGTCGTTCTTGTCAGCTATTCCAATACGGATGAATTTCGTAACTGTAACAGACGGAACAAAAATTTGTGTGTTAGAAATTCGTTTTATTAAGCGATTGTCGTTGCGCGACATGAAAGTCCGGGAATGTGGGTCGCACAGAATATCTTCTGGAACATGCATTGCCTTTCATATTTCCTTCGGATGTATATCCGGAATGTGAAAATTCAATCTTTCTTCGTTCCCTAAATCCTATGGGTTCGTCGAAGCTTATGTTCTGTCACGAACGAAATATTTGGGAGTGGGTGAATGTCCGTGTAACTCGAAACATAATAAATAGATTTCTGCGAACTTTTTATCACGCAGCGCACAAGAAATGAACGAATAAGTATTCCTAGAAGCTAGTAGTGAAATGAATTCACAAAAATAACTTTGATGTGCTTTATAAATATGATTTGTTCAGCAAAAGAAACAGTTCAAAACGACTGTCTGTTTCATTGACATTTTTATTATCTATTTTTTACGTCTTTATTAAAATATTTTGCATACAATGCGATTTATATTAAGGAATAAAATTAGGGTCTCTGGATTGGAAATAATTTAATTTCTGAAGAAAACAGTTTCGTATTGTAGTATGCTTCATAAATCAAATAAAATGCTTTACGCAATATATTAAATAATGTTCTCTTTGTTTGCCTTCTCTGGCTTCTGCAATCATATTTAGAGAATCTCTTAAAATATTTAAGCGTTAAGCGACTATTAAAATTCCCCTTGCACAGTTTTTCACACGTATAAACATGAAAGTCAGCAATTCCCTGATTATTCTCGGCAATTCGTGTTTCGCAGTTAATTTATGTAGATAATTTAATGGAAAATTCATGTTCGGTAATTCATTAGATTCCGCTTTCGACTGGAGATTTGTGGAACCAGGTATCGATTTTCATGGTAAAATAGTTAAATGAAGACAGAAGTTCATTACGAAGGCAGTGGCGGGAAGTAATTGATTGTATAGCAGTAGCGTGGCCACGGAAATCCATTCTCCAATATATTCTCTATCGTCATATAAGATGGGGAAATAACAATTCAAAACTGAAGTCATTGGCAAATAATTCTTTACCGTCAACAGGGAAATTTTTCGAACAACAGATTTGTTAATAGTTTCGTACATACTATTATAAAAATTGTACGAATAAAATTTTATATACATTAATATTTAACTAATTGTACATGCATTAATTGCACATACATATAAAAAAATATGTTTACAAAACATAAAAAATGTATTAGGATATATATTTTAAGGAAGTACTAGATGGAACAGGCCTATTCTGAGTGTTTATTATCTATTAATCTGGAATATAACAGCTACTATCTCGAACGACCATATTTCATCAATCTAGTAATTTGTCAATCTTTTCGTATAAAAATTCTCCATTTCTTGATCGAAAAATGCAATTGAAAATCAGTCAAATTTCCCAACGAACATCGTAAAGGTATAATCAATTTTAATTTTACATATAAAGTGAAAAATTAACCAATTTGCATCGTTCTGCCAAAAGAGAATACGGATCTGTGTAGCCGAAAAATAATAACACACTACGTAATTTGCATGTAATAATACGTTCCATATTCGTCATCCATAATATGGTCCGAGCAAATATGGTGGACTATCAGGTTGTCTGATGCAAATGGGTTAAATAGAATCTTTTTCTTATACTCAATCTATTTCAACTATATATAATTACTAATTCAACTAGCTCTTCTTTGAAAGCTTTATCAAAAGTTGTATGTAACCCAGTTTAAAGGTCCATGGGAAGAACGATCGTAGTCATACAAAGTAAAATTTCCAGTATTTGAAAAACAAACTTTATAAATTCCGCTGAGTGGGTCGGTTTTGAAGGATTCCCTTTCCATTTTAAGTACAATAATTTTACCAATTGTTTTCCAGTTGTATTTAAAGGCGAAGCATCGCCATATATTTTACGAAGGCATTCGTGAATCTCCATTGACATACTACCCTCTCTTGCCAAGGAGTTTTATAACAACACGGTACTCTCAATTCGACATAACGCATGCAGGTGTTATTACACTGTATTTACAAATAAAACACTGAACGTATAAGAATAAAATTGATGGCGTTGATGTCTCTAATATTAAGCTTCATATATCCTCGCCATTCATATTTTTCCACTTATATGCAAAATATGAGAGGCCGAGAACATTTAGGACCTTACTACCTAATATTACCAATGCAATTTAAAAATAAGATTGTACAATCTTCTACAAAAATAAATATGTATTACCGTCACCAAATGTTAATATTTATAGTCCACAGAATATGCAACGAGGACCTCGATGCGCTCCAGTGTCGCCAGCGATGGCCACTTAGCCCGCGACAGAAGACCTCGGTGGCGTTTCCATCTCTATTTTCGGGAAACACGGAATTCATGCGATGCATGACCGGGCGCGTAATCGTCGGAACGTTGTGTTCGAAATATCCGTGCACCGTTAATAGGACGGATTATTAAGACGAATTCCCGTGTCAATTTGGCGGACGCCGCGCCAGGATGCTCACCGCTGCAGGCAATTTGCTCTCGGTGCACGCCAGCACTGGCGTATCTTCGGTGGGACTCGAGGGTTTAACTCGCCTGATTCTCTTTGCACGACAAATACCTGGCTGATTAAGTTAATTCGCGTGCTCGTCGCGCGCTGGAACGCCCTGGCAGCTATGCGATCGCGGCTGATTCTGAATCGACCGGATTAATTCGGCCCCAAAAATAATCCCCGTTAATTGGTGTTCATCGGTGTTATATGAGAGGTTGCGCCCCGACGATATGGACAGTTTTCGAAGGGCGTTGTGAGCGAGCATGATGAGAAGGGTGGGATTTAGGTTGCGTTGTGGTGAGCAATAGGTAACTACCATGTTTGTTTTATAAGTAGGGGAGAGTGGGCTTGGATCAGTTTTCAATTAATTTGTAGCAGTGATTTAAATGAAAGAGACATGCTTTAAATGTGAAGAATTATAATCAGTACGGTCTTATTATTGATTTTGCATCATGATTCCATTTTATTATTCCAAAGAAATGTTTAAAAATATAATAGTACTAAAACTTGTTATTTGGCCCATATCTCCCTTATGGGGGGAGGTTTGGGAGAAGTTTAATGTATGTATATATTTATTACCTCCAAAGTGATAATACATGTGTATAAAAGTAATCAAATGAATAAATGAAGTAAAGACTCTGGAGGAATTACGTAACATAAATTACATAAAGATATTGAAAATTGTTAAATAAATTTTTAATGTAATAAACAGTAACGAAAGCATTTCATTAAAAAGAAAATTGAGGTGTTTGCATCGACCCAAATCTCTCCAAAGCATCACCCGAAAAAATTGTATTCTTTTTTTATATTCGTTTTTTCTCATAGAATCACTTCCTACCCGGTTGTACTACTCGACCCGAGGCACCTCACACAAATACACATACAATATGAGAGAATGATGATGGTGTAACAAATGCGTATTTTCTAATTACGTTTTCAATTTTCTGTGAACGTTATAAAAATACCTTTGTTTAGGTAATATTAAGTGCTTTCACATTATTTCAACAAATTTTTTTTCATTTTTACTTACAGTAGAACAAACAGAATTTGGCGAGTTGAATGTTTAACGATTGCTATTTCGATTAAATAATTCATACCTTAACAAATTGTAATATATGAACAATTTAAATTCTTTGTTACTTTACTTCTCTGTTACAAAGAAGGATTGCTACTTCCATTATATAATTCATACCTTAACAAATTGTAATATTAAAATTTAAATGCTTTGTTACTACCGGATTTTAATTTAGTTTCAAGTTATGTCACTCACAAAATGGAAACAGTTACACCTGTGACACGTAAAAGAATATACATTAATTTGTCAACTAACTGGATACAGAATATTCTTCCCAACAAAATCACGCGAAATGAAACGTTCCTCTATTTCCATGGTTAAATACCTTGCATACAGAAGGATTGATAAACACTTTTATCGTATCTCTGTAAACGTCACATTTCACGTAAAGAAGTGTTCATCTCGGTAGTACGAGGTAATTGAAATCCACAAAGGAAAGAATCCTTAATACTTTTTTTCGCTGTTTCTTTTTCATCCTTCGGTTTCGTTCTCCTTCGAGGTAAATATTTGCTGAAATTTATTCACAGCTTCTTCAAACGGAAGTGAGTCTGGAGGAAAACGTTTAAAAGGATAAACGGCCGATCGAAGGAACGATTGCTCATAGAAATGATAATCGTTACCTCGCGAACGGCAGATCGATGAAAGAGTGCAAAGCCTGTAATTGTTCCGTGAATTTTGAAAGCGTTCAACGGTCGCTGGGGTAAAACGCCTGCGAGCGAACAGAGTGGAAATAAAAGTGGCTGATCGATTGGGACTCGAGACTGCTCTTATCCTTCGATACTCCATTCAATAACCGCGTCTCTCTTTTCCATCGAAGTGTTTTCAAATGAAACATTAAATATTTGAACACACGCGTGACTTTTCGAACGCGAGGAATAGAATGCATCGCTGTCGGCTATTCGTTCTCGTGGGATCAATTTTAACATTTCGTGTTCGACAGTCACTGAGAGATATACTTGTCACAGACGGGACTGTTTTTTATTTAATATACGACTGGTGGAAAATGAATAGCCGATCATTATACATATTTCGGAATATTACGATTAAATTGTGAATTATTATGCAATTTTACCTTAAAACAATTACAGAACATAATAAAATATCAATTATAATAGAATAGAATGTATTTTCATTCAATTTTTAGTAGAACAGAAGTGTCAATACAAGAATTCAGTTTCCACTGTGACGTCAATAATGCAAGCAATTCGACAACAATATGTTTTAAAAAGAAAATAAGGAAACTGTTTTCCTACGAAAAATTCTATCATTTTTTGTCAGCAAGTAACTTTCAAATCGGAAGTTTCTTAATCCCAAAACTGGTATTTTTGGAAACTATAGGAATTGGTAAGAAATTATTGGTGCCCTGAAACGAAGTTCAACCCTATT